CAGGTGCATAAGAATTAAGCAAATCTGAATAGTTTTCTGACCTTTGTTAAAACAAAGCCCTATACAAGTTTTTAAAATGCTGTTTTTTTCCAGCTTGTTACTCGCCATGAAAATAGCCAAGGAAGTTGGCATGGCGTTAAAAGACCAACCTTTGACACAAATGCTTGTTCTTTTGCTTCAGATGATGGCTCCACACCAGAGAGGATCGCTCAGATTATGGGGCCTCCAGACAGGGCACAGCACGCAGCAGATATCATAACTGATCTGCTGAGGAGTGTGCAGGATGGAGGCCCCCCTGGTCACGGGGGCAGAGGGAGGGGCCGTGGACAGGGAAACTGGAACATGGGCCCTCCTGGAGGCCTGCAGGAATTCACTTTCACTGTGCCTACCATGAAGACTGGCCTCATTATCGGCAAAGGTTAGTTGTTGATATTTGCTTTCCCTTTAAAGTGATATGCAATTTTTATATGACCTAAATTGATAATGAATGAACATTGATCATTTATTATTATTTTTTCCCTCTAGGGGGTGAAACCATTAAGAACATCAGCCAGCAGTCAGGAGCCAGGATAGAGTTACAAAGAAACCCTCCACCTAATTCGGACCCTAATATAAAGATCTTCACAGTCCGTGGATCACCCCAACAGATTGATTACGCCAGACAGCTGGTCGAGGAGAAGATTGGAGTGAGTACTGTGATGTCCATTAAACCTAACAAATTTTAGCAAATTTTAAACAAAATTATAGTTTTTCTGACATGTTGCTCCGACACAGAACTTTGTCTATTTATTGCTTATTGTCTGGTTTATACTAAAAATTATTTTTTGTCATAGGGTCCAGTTAGCCCTATGGGTGGCCCTCATGGTCCTCCTGGGCCCCACGGAGGCCCTTCTCACGGCCCTCCCGGTCCACCAGGACCACCTGCTCCCATGGGCCCATACAACCCTGGGCCCTATGGCCAGGGCCCTCCTGGACCACAGTAAGGACTTTTTCCTTCTCAATGTTTAGCATTTGTCAGTGTTTTCACTCGGACTTTAGGTGCCAATTCATCTTGAGATTAACTTAGTGCATCTTATTTTTTATCCTCAGTGGTCCCCAAGCACCATACCAGCCTCAAGGCTGGGGCAACGGATACCCTCAGTGGCAGCAAGGACAGCCAGATCCCAGTAAGTGCTTGTCCCTTAGCCATGCTAACTAGGTTTAGTTTAGAATCACATACAGATTCTCCACAATGCCCATACATAGTCCTAGTTAAAACTAATGCAGCTTCAGTTGTCTGTTGGAGGAAAGACAAAATGGGCTAAGCTGTTGTTTGCTCTGCAGATAAAGCAGCAGCTGATGCTAATGCGGCCGCATGGGCAGCCTATTATTCTCAGTACCAGCAGCAGCCCCAGGGCCCCATGACACCAACATCAGCAGCCCCTGGCACATCCCAGACCAATGGACAAGGTACTTTTTTTTTTTTTTTTTTTTTATAGATATATATAAACCTGCACTCCACAAAACTGTCACCCTCCCTTCACTCTAGATCTACTTTTGTACAGCAGTACTTAGCAGCTTTCAGTGTAGCCATCACTGCACAGTACAATGTTGCTTTTCTGATGGGCTTTATTCGTTGTTCTGGGATGGCCTTTTTCGACTAGCACACATGGACAGGGCATTTTCTGAGACACTCGACCTGTTTGTGCAAAGTGCGCTACCTAGTCAGGTGGAGGACTTTCTGCAGCCTTTAAAAGAATGGTTATCAATTTCTCAAATTGTACCATTTTTAACAGGTGACCCGCAAACTCCAGGTCAAAGTGGACAGACAGATTACACCAAGGCCTGGGAGGAATATTACACTAATTATTTTAAGAATATTACAAATGTAGTTTGAGGTTATTTTCTTTGAGAGATCAGGTTAAATAACAGCAGGGCTTGAATAACCAATCAGTCCCGTTTTACTTTTGGAGTCTAGTGAGGCAAATTAGTGGCGTGAGAGTTTTGTCTTTGGTGCTTGTCCACAGAAATATTGGTCTGGTTCAGAATGAGGAACTGTAGTGTCTCAGAGTAGGATTAACACACCGAAAAACCATGAATAAGATTGTACTGCTCAGTTTTGTGTATGTATGTAATGGATAAATACAGTATGTACACCTTTTCAAATTTGTGCCCGTTTCAATGCCAGTTGTACTTGTAAATATTAAGTTTAAAATTGCTGAAATTGTAATGCTAACTAAATCTTCATGAACTGTTTTAATTTGTTATTTTTCTAATGTTATTTGATTTTTATGAATTTGGTGGTAGACTTGCATGTAGTTTAGTTGCGTGTTTTTACCAGAATTGTCAGTAAGTAATTCAGTAATGTTACCTTCAGTGTAACTGCTAATGTTTGAGCTCATGATTAATGTCTGTTTAATCTCGTCTCTTCAGGTCAAGGACAGCCTCAGCAGGACTACACAAAGGCATGGGAAGAGTACTATAAGAAACAAGGTAAGATATCATACATAGATGTAGTTGCTTTGACTTCTAATAGTTTTGGGCAGCTGCAGCTCTTTCACAGTCCTCTGCAGTAGAGCTGCTGTTGTCTCGGCTGCCCTAGAGTAAAGTAGCGGGTTTCTGTCCCGCCACTCGGAGGTAGCGTGGCCGGGGTCGTTCCCCCTCTTACAAACATTGCCATGGAGTAATTTATCCTTAAATCAATCTTGTACAAAGGGGTGGTTTAACAACACTGCCAGATTATTTTTCTGCTGCACCTCCCATCTTTAATGCTTTGGGTTTTATTTTGTTTTAGGTCAAGCTGCGCCTCAGGCGGCTGCAACGGCGGCGGCGACGTCTCAGCCAGGAGGTCAGCCAGATTACAGTGCCGCGTGGGCAGAATATTACCGCCAGCAGGCAGCGTACTACGGCCAAGGTGCCCCTCAGGCGATGGGAGCTGCACCCCAGGCTCAGCAGGTACACTCCCATTAAAACACTCTGCTCTTTGCCTTTTGCGCTCTTCACTTGGTAGATGTGCATGTGTACAGTTTTTGTCCCCGCCCTTCTTTTTTTTTCCCTCTTAACATTTACTTCAACAGGTTCAGCAGGTTTCCAGAAGAGTCATCGATATAACACATAACCAAACTCTTTCCTCCTCAAACAGGGTTTTTAATCTTTTTTTTTTTTTTGGGAAGGTGTTGGATAAATGTTTCAGCTCTTAACATGTTGTGTATTTCTTATGTATTTCTTCTGCACAGGGCCAGTAATGTGAAGTGGACATAAAGTAAATGCTACATTGTCAGAAAAAACCTTTGTTAAATGTTTGGATGCAGACGCCATGATGAAGATCTTTATTTCATTGGTTTGAGTGTTTAAGCTAGATCGCAGACCAGCTCCAAAGTCAAGTATATATATATAATTTTTTTCCTTTTTGTTTTGCCACTCTTGTAAATGAACGGTTTGTTTTTAGTCGGGTAATTTTGGTCATTCCAGCTCCTGTATCTCCTGTATCTCATGTAGTTCTGAGGCTAAACTATAGTCATTTCCATGTAAATTAGCTCCGTTTTAATATGATATGCCTGTTGTGTTTTGCAATAAAACAATGAAACCTCCTGTGTTGGTAAGTGGGGTGCAAAAGTGGGGAATGTTTTGTAAAAATGTCATTAACTGTTTTGGGACATGGGGTTTATGCAAATTTACAGAACAAAAATGTTGCTCTTCTGTTTTTTTTTTTTTCTTTTCTTTTTTTTCCTTTCAACTCTCTATTACTCTTGATTTTTAGTTTGATTCCTGGTCTATTTTAAAGTCACAAGTAAGAGATCATTGATCATTTGACATTGCTTGTTTGACATATGGACAGCTCTGTTTTTCTGCTGCATTTTTTTTTTACTGGTCATTGCTGTGGATGTAGGTGTAGGCAGGTTATCTAAGGCAAGGTGGCTTGATGTTGGCAAGGTATGTGATTCATGCAATAACTCTTCAGTGCTGTAGTGTTGCTCATTCTTGTACTGCATTTTACCTGGTTTGTTGAGGTAGTGTGCACTGTTAATGAGAGACATTTCCTCCCTCACAGGCGAGATTAGGAAGGCGGTAAGAAGTATGCGTCTTTACATAAACTGTTCCTTTTTATATTGTGACTGCAATCATGTTGCAAGTATTTTAGTTTGTTCTCCCAAGTTTGCTGCTTTTTTACAGGGCAGGTCAAGTGTTCTGATCAACAGTTATGTCTTGCGAAATTACTTGTCCCCATCCTATATTTTACATGTCTAAAATCTACAAATTGTGTATATATTTCTATCAATATTGCTGGCATTATTAAAAACATTCTGATACGATTAAAAAGGCTCGAATGCGAACATGGACTACTTATTTTTCTGCCCATTGTCTGTTAGCATTCCTCCAATATAGGCCTATAGGTTTTTGGAGACTCTGGCTTCCTACACCAGTGAAATGAGCTCTCCACTGTAAGTACAAAATGTACATGATTTTGCGGCCCAATTTGTTTCTTTTGCTGTCAATGCATTGTCTTTGACTGAATGAAACGCAATGTATATAAATCTCTAAATGTTGCCCTTTTTTGGGTAAGTATGTCAGGGCTGTAATTTTGATTTGACATGTTCAAGATAATAATGACCTGACCCTTTTTCACATTGGACTGTTATTTTTTGCCATAACAGCATTATGTGATATTTACAAATTGAGACATTGCCATGTTGACACTGCTTTAGTCATTTAGGACGTCTCTCTCAAGACTTCTCATATGAAACTGTGAACTGTACCACTGTGTTCAAGTCAGTCCGTCTGTAGAAACAGCAACTTTTTCCATCTGCGAATGTGTGGTTTAACATTAACTAGACATGTAAATTGTCTTTTTGTGATTTGACAAGTGTTTTATACTGCATAGCCCATAAAGACCGTCAGCAAATGGCCTCTTTCAAATGTTAATTAGTATTAATGTCCTATTTCTAAATCTGTGCCTGACCTGTTTGTGATTAAGGTCAATGAGGCTGTCGATTTGATGCGTTTTTTAAAAAAAAATTTATTCGACTGTTCATTAGTGAGCAGTGCAATGTCTAATCTTGCAGTGTCATCCCTGACCTTGCACCTTAGGTTCTGCAGCAATAACACAGGTAAGAGTATCCTAAGAAATCAAAACGATTGAACCTGTGATCTAGTGTAATGCTTTTCACCTTTGAAACTGAGGTCGATTTGTGCCGCTGTTTAAATGAAGGATGTCTCTCGTAGTAGATAGACTGGCGTACGTCAGAATTAAGATTTTAGAAGTATGCATTTTTTTTTGTCCATATGAATTGCATGGCCTTGACCTGTAGTTAACAAATGTTTTCCTCTAACTAGAATTGTTTTTTTTTTGTCCTAATTGAAACAAATGTGATTTTGATTTGCTCATTTGTTAGCTTCCTGGTAAGTGTCTAGTGTGGTTCAGTTCTACTCTTACACAATGCATGCAGATGCGAAATGATCCAGAGTTAGCCCTATGAATGCACTCACTGATAACTGACGTATACTATGTATGCTCATGTTTCATTGGTTTGCAAGCTTTCTTGTTGCCCCTCTGTAGTGCTAATGTTTGTCCCACATTGCTGCCTTCATTCTCACTCACAGTGTTGAAGATGCTGCAGGCGTAGTTCGTAGAATCAGGTCCTGAGCTAGTTTGTCCGTAAGGAGGAATCCTTTGAATCTGTCCCTCCGCTGAACGTAGACTGTTCAAGGGCTCCAGTTATAAGGTAAAAATATCATGAGGAATCTGTCATTGCAAAGTCAATGTTACTGTTAGTTTAGGGTGATGCCAGTTAGTTTTGATTATAGAAATGTAGCCATATGCCTCTGTATTATTGGTTGACTAATGGTTCTATGAAATGTTTTGAGTACATTCTTTGCCTTTTGTTGATAAGTGTAGGGATTTTATGTGCATAATGCTGTACAGGTGGACCATGACCAGGAACTTTTTTTTTCTTTCTTTTTAGTAGACATTTGCCAGGCTGGTTTTTGTTTGTTAAACAGAGTTTCTTTAAACTTAGTCTTTATCCATTGCTGCATATCGTTTTGTATGCATGCAAGATGTTTCCTTTTTGAGCAAATTGTTCACAACAGAATTCGTGGGGGTCTAAAAACGAAGAGAAAATCGGAGGCTAGCTGAGAAATTTGGAGCATGCCTTTGAGGTAAAACTAACATGAACTGTTAAAGTTGTTGAATGTACTTTTGATTTTTGCTGAGAATTGTTGGTCTGAAATGTTAGATTGTTGCCATTGTCATCAATAAAATTGTAATCATTAAAATTGGCTTTGAGGTTTTTTAGTGATTTCAGTGTTCAACTAATACTTGTATACTGGCATAACATGTTATGAACAAAATGCAGCCTCAAATCCACATATTACAGAATACATCAAATTCGTCACAATACATGTACTGTTTTGTAATAGATCATGTAATTATTCATAACAGCCAGCTGTTCCACATAATTCTCATGGCATAAAGAGTAGAGAAGTCTAAACTGAACTCATGGCCAGTGTTGAACATTAATTCCCATGAAAGGTTTGGAGACTCTTAATTGACCTACATATGACAATCTCATGAATAACATCCTAGTTTCAGAACTATGAAAATACAGAGTGAAAACTTTCAAATCTCAAAACACAAAGGACCCAAAAACTCAAATCATTCATTAAAAGTAAAAAATTAAAGCTACTGGAACACCACATGAAAGGCATATAAAATACATCTCTGTCCCTTCTTACCCACTTCATTTAATCACTACACAAACTCTATACTGCATTAACATGGCACTAATAATGACTTGGAAGACAAGAGTCATGATGTGCAGTCAACTTAGCAGCTGTAGGCAATGAGTTAAACATCCATGAAAATGTGGAGGATGATACAGATGTAGCTCACTGAACCTGTGCTTCCAGCAAAGCACTGGGTAGCAGGTGCAAAGGTGTGCCACTACAGCCATTTAGGTGACGGATCATGTCAGTGCCTAGATAGGCAAGAAGCAGTTCAGAACGTCTGTGAAGCAAGTGCAAGATGTCCTCAGCCAGAGTGTCCAGACTAGAGTAACGCACTTTATCCAGATCGAAAATGTCCTTCATGAAGAACAGCACCTGTTCCTGTGGACAAAAGATAAATAATTTTGTTCCTGAATGACTACATTCAACAAAGCTGACATTGAAGGCATTTGATGAAGATTATACCTTGGGAGTCAGTCTAACAGACCCCTGATCATCAGTATTAAGTCTGGCAAACACTATCTTATTCTAGCCTAATCGGGGTTCTTCAAATCCAGCCATGGAGAGCCACTACCCTGCAGAATTGAATCTTTACTCAAAGACACCTGAGCAAGCTAATCAAGCTCTAGAAAATTACAGGTAGGTAAGTTTGATCAGGGTTTGGCTTAAACTGCAAGACAGTGGACCTTCCAGGGCCAGATTAGAAGAACTGTACCCTGCTTGAGCAAAGAGCTAGCATAATTTGTTATCCAGGGGTGTCCAATCCTGCCCCTTCTCACATTGGAATGAGAACAATCATGGGCACCATACTGAAGGGTCATTCCAAACCAAAGTGCTCAAAACTGGCCACTTCAATGGACCCTTAAAGGATGAACCAATGAACACTCCCATGATTCTTTGTGGGGGTAAACCATAGGTATGAACCCTTCAAAATGGAATGCAGCAGAATGAAGCTTTTCAGCGTTACTAGCAACTTCTAGTCAGGTAGGTTGGAGCAGGAGGTTTGCAGTAAGGTGGCCCTCCCAGAGCAGGACTGGACACCCCACTATTAATCCAAAGAGATCCACAGGACACTCACTTTGGACCAGGGGTGCCCAAACCTTCCTACAGAATTTAGCTCCTGCCAGCTCCAACACACTTGCCTGGAAGTTTCTATTGAGTCTGAAGACCTTGATTAGTTGGTCCAGGAGCTAAATTACGCAGGCCCTCCGGGAACAGGGTTGGATACCCCTGCTCTGGACCAAGGGTATCCAACCCTGTAGAGTTTAGCTTCAACTCTAACTAGACATAACAGAAGCAGCTACTCTGGGTTTTCAGGATTATTGGAAACTTCCGGGCAGGTGTGTTGGATTGGCTTAGAGCTAAACTCTACACAAAAGCGGCCACCCAGAATCAGGATTGGACTCCCTGGACAAACCATGGTCTTGTTCAGTTGCACAAAATTTCATGGACAAGCACTAACCCTTGTAGGATCTTTAACCCAACAGCAACCACATTTAATTGTTTGTCATTTAAGAGCAACTAAATCTGAAACTGGCTGTTACTACAATAAGGCTGGTCAGCAACAATAGGTGACTTGATCAGAACTATGAGGACGTTTCATTATTTGCCTGATCATCTGTTATCCAGTATTAAACTTACAAAATTTTCATAATTGCATGTTTTTCTTCCAACAAAACAATTGGACAGTTCAGAGACTTATTGCCAATACACTTGGCAAATCCATCAACAAGTTGTTGCTTGGAAGTGTGCAGTGCAGTAGAAGGCCAGCCAAACAAACTGGATATGGTAATTTTCACCAGTCCTTCCCAATTTGTCCTGCAGAGGTAAATACTCAGCTTTCCAATTGTCAGTTTTATCATAAGTCGTAAAGCCTTTAAATGTGGTGACAGGTCGCAGTAGCTGTCTCAGTTCAGACTACAACACTTGAGCACAAATGAACCAATCATCTCTTCCACTTTACTAGTCATAGCACATATGCATGTGACAGTCAGTGTATGTAGGCACACCATCTGAAGCTGACATGCTTTAAGAGACACAGAGGTCATCAAATTACAGCTTACCTTGAAGAAGCAGCATAAATCGTGCAGGGAACTTTTAGGGCCTAGAAACCCCCAGGCCAAGACAGGACTTATGTGTTCACACACTGCATAGAAATGCGCAATGAAGCCATCTTGAACCTGTACACACAAAATAAAATATTAACAAACATATTTCCTTTTCTTCAAATCTTTCAAGTCTGGCTGTCTGGAGAGATTAAACTGCTTTACTCTGGTACAACAATCAAAACATTTACATTTCCAACAATACCTTCATATTTTGCCTCTTCTGCTTCAGAACAGACCAACAACTTGATGCAACGGCCTATGATGGTCAAATACAGTAACAGTTTTATTAAATATTAATGTGTAACTGAATTGTGATTTTGCTGAAGTCAGATCTAATGCTAGAGATTCTGTACGCACCGTCTCTTTGAAGGAGTTGTTGAGCCAACGATTGTTGACCACATTTTGAATAGAGATAGGTGGATTCTCAAGATCCTCAAATGAGTCCATAAGGATGAAGTCAAGAACAATGTCATAGAAGTCCAGGTGTTTAACCTGAAGAGTAAAAAAAGGATAAACATTAAACAAAATTAACTTGCAAGCCGTTTAATATCCAGGACAGGTCTCGTATCTGTATAACAAGACATGTCTCACCCCTCTTGCAGAAAGCTCCATTTCTGTGTTCTCCCAATGTTCCGTTTGCTCCAGAAAGCAAATCATTTCTTCAAACACCTCCTCAAATCTCTTTGGGCTCTGTAAACCACACAATAGATAAGTTGGGTTGGGGACTCATCATGTGTGGCCACATGGAAGAAAGGACCAGACACTCACCTTCCTTGCTTTAACAATTATTGAAGATAATATACTCTTTCCTGTGTCAGCCAGAAATGCTCTAGTTGCTCTTTCACATAAGATGACCTGAATTAAAATACAATGTAGAGTTTAAAAGTTTTCCCACATAGGCCCCATTCCAACTGACACACTTCATGTACACTTGTGGCCCATGCCCATGAAGTTCACAAGACCGTAGGATGTCCTATTTGTCATTTTAGAGGTTCACGAGTGCCCACTTTATGGTATGGTTTCGATTGCACTGAGAGGTGAGTTCCACAGCAGACTTCAACCCAATAGTCAAAGTGGCATTACGTAACAAAAGCGTGGACTTGGAGGAAGACCAGTGTCGCCAAGTTTTTCCACGGAATTGGTCTACTTTTATTCTGTTGCAGTGGGTTGTTTTTTTTAGTCTGCAGGTTAAAGCAAAACACTCCGTCCCCTCTGAATGTGATTTTGACCGAGGTGGAACCCCTTGGAAGGAGGTTTTGACCTCCTGGAAGGCGATTCTAGAGAAATTTGGATGTGATTTTGATAGCAGTTTTCTCCTGAAATGCATTTGGGCCATGATTGGGCTACTTTTGAGTACCAACTGGGCTGGTTTTGTTATAGAGACCTGGCAATCCTGAGGAGCACTGTGAGGGCTTATGGGGCCATTTGGGACAGGACCACAGACTGCAACTTAATCTGCCCAATGCTAGACCATTAACATGAACTGTTAATTTAACTTGACAACTTGAAACAAATGCAATAACCACCCTACCCCCCCCACTTAATCAAAACTGCATTATATTTTAAACATTGCAACATCACAATAACAATTACTGGTATATACAAAACAAAATGTTTCACAGTAACATTAAAACCACGACAGTACAATAACATGGTAACAGTACAATTACATAGCAATCAGTGGTCTTAAAGGTTTAGGTCACCCAAAAATGAAAAATTAGCCCACAAATTACTCACCCTCAAGACATCCTAGGTGTATGACTTTCTTCTTTCAGACAAATCTAGTCGGAGTTATATTAAAAATTGTCTTTGATCTTTCAAGCTGTTTAATGCCACTCAGCAGGTGTTGCATGCATCAGTCCAAAAGAAGTTAAATAAAAAGTGACCATCCATAAAAAAGTGTCTCACACGGCTCCGGGGGGTGAACAAAGGCCTCCTGTAGCGAATCGATGCGTTTTTGTAAGAAAAATATCCATACTCAAAACGTAATAATCACTTTAATGTAGCTTGCGCCAACAGTCCTACACGGAAGCAGCTCTGGGCGGATGACGTATGAGGTCAGCGTTGCACATGCGACGTTTGAGTCTCATAATAACCAACGATTGTCAACAGGAGCAAAGGAAGCAAAGTTTCCTTACTTCAGCAAAGGAAAACCAGTCTCCTCTTGGCTTATATCAAAATCCTCCGACATTCTTCTTTACAAATCCTCGTTTTGTACTTCTAATTAGTGACCGTTGTTTTGTTTTGATCTCTCCGCTGCGCTTCCGCATTCGTCACTTCTGAGTGGCGCATGCGCAACGCCGACCTACATACGTCATCCTCCCGGAACTGCTTTCATGTACAACTGTTGGCGCAAGCTACATTAAAGTGATTATTACATTTTGAATATGGATATTTTTCTTACAAAAATGCATCGATTCGCTACAGGAGGCACTTTTTTATGGATGGGCGCTTTTTATTTAACTTATTTTGGACTGATGCATGCAACACCCGCTGAGTGGCATTAAACAGCTTGAAAGTTAAAATACCATTTTTAATATAACTCCGACTGGATTCGTCTGAAAGAAGAAAGTCATATACACCTAGGATGACTCGAGGGTGAGTAATTTGTGGGATAATTTTCATTTTTGGGTGAACTGACAACTTTAACCCCACTTAACTCTGAAATGTGTTACTTTCAGAACATGAGAAAGAAATCCTTTACCTGACACGCCTGCCGTACACAGTGCAGCTTTGCCAGGAAATCAGTGTCTCCAAGACATTCCAACACTTCAGTTCTGTTTTTTTTATTTTTTAAAAGACCAGTGAACAACAGTCTAGATAAAACATATCAACTTAAAATAGAACTCAGCTCTGCACAATATTTTCAGAAATGTGTGCAAACAAACAGATCTATAAAACAAATCAGTTCATACTTTCAAATCAGTTTGATTAAGCCACATTCAAATATCCAATGCACACGTACCTATGAACATGACTGAACTTTGTTAAAACATCTAGTCCACAATATTATCTATAGTTAGTCTAATAAACTATACGAGCTAAAAAAAATGATTACTGTGTTTATTATTAATATTTATTTAATACACAACTATATTGAACACTAGATTCTGATTGGCCAGTCAGGTATTCTGTGTTCCCCCATGCCTGACATACTTGACTCACCGTAGCACTCGACAGGAGATCTTCCCTTCCTCAGCCATCTGCAGGGCATCCTCATAAAAGGGGTGATGACACAGTGACCCCAGCGCATGGGCACTCCTCATCTCTCTGTGCTCAGATAACTGAATCAAATCACAAGATTTAAGACCTTTTTGTGTAATTCTTTAACTTTTGTGTATTTTGTACAGTGGGTACGGAAAGTATTCAGACCCCCTTAAATTTTTCACTCTTTGTTATATTGCAGCCATTTGCTAAAATCATTTAAGTTAATTTTTTTTCCTCATTAATGTACACACAGCACCCCATATCGACAGAAAAACACAGAATTGTTGACATTTATGCAGATTTATTAAAAAAGAAAATCTGAAATATCACATGGTCCTAAGTATTCAGACCCTTTGCTCAGTATTTAGTAGAAACACCCTTTTGATCTAATACAGCCATGAGTCTTTTGGGGAAAGATGCAACAAGTTTTTCACACCTGAATTTGGGGATCCTCTGCCATTCCTCCAAGTTGCAGATCCTCTCCAGTTCTGTCAGGTTGGATGGTAAACGTTGGTGGACAGCCATTTTTAGGTCTCTCCAGAGATGCTCAATTGGGTTTAAGTCAGGGCTCTGGCTGGGCCATTCAAGAACAGTCACAGAGTTGTTGTGAAGCCACTCCTTCGTTATTTTAGCTGTGTGCTTAGGGTCATTGTCTTGTTGGAAGGTAAACCTTCAGCCCAGTCTGAGGTCCTGAGCACTCTGAAGAAGGTTTTCGTCCAGGATATCCCTGTACTTGGCCGCATTCATCTTTCCCTCGATTGCAACCAGTCATCCTGTCCCTGCAGCTGAAAAACACCCCCACAGCATGATGCTGCCACCACCATGCTTCACTGTTGGGACAGGTGATGAGCAGTGCCTGGTTTTCTCCACACATACCGCTTAGAATTAAGGCCAAAAAGTTATATCTTGGTCTCATCAGACCAGAGAATCTTATTCAGGTGTTTTTTAGCAAACTCCATGCAGGCTTTCATGTGTCTTGCACTGAGGAGAGGCTTCCGTCGGGCCACTCTGCCATAAAGCCCCGACTGGTGGAGGGCTGCAGTGATGGTTGACTTTCTACAACTTTCTCCCATCTCCCAACTGCATCTCTGGAGCTCAGCCACAGTGATCTTTGGGTTCTTCTTTACCTCTCTCACCAAGGCTCTTCCCCCCCGATAGCTCAGTTTGGCCGGACGGCCAGCTCTAGGAAGGGTTCTGATCGTCCCAAACGTCTTCCATTTAAGGAATGGAGGCCACTGTGCTCTTGGGAACCTTAAGTGCAGCAGAAATTTTTTGTAACCTTGGCCAGATCTGTGCCTTGCCACAATTCTGTCTCTGAGCTCTTCAGGCAGTTCCTTTGACCTCATAATTCTCATTTGCTCTGACATGCACTGTGAGCAGTAAGGTCTTATATAGACAGGTGTGTGGCTTTCCAAATCAAGTCCAATCAGTATTGGATGTGATTTTGATAGCAGTTTTCTCCTGAAATGCATTTGGGCCATGATTGGGCTACAAAACAAAATGTTTCACAGTAACATTAAAACCACGACAGTACAATAACATGGTAACAGTACAATTACATAGAAATCAGTGGTCTTAAAGGGTTAGGTCACCCAAAAATGAAAAATTAGCCCACAAATTACTCACCCTCAAGACATCCTAGGTGTATGACTTTCTTCTTTCAGACAAATCTAGTCGGAGTTATATTAAAAATTGTCTTTGATCTTTCAAGCTGTTTAATGCCACTCAGCAGGTGTTGCATGCATCAGTCCAAAAGAAGTTAAATAAAAAGTGCCCATCCATAAAAAAAAAGTGTCTCACACGGCTCCGGGGAGTGAACAAAGGCCTCCTGTAGCGAATCGATGCATTTTTGTAAGAAAAATATCCATACTCAAAACGTAATAATCACTTTAATGTAGCTTGCGCCAACAGTCCTACACGGAAGCAGCTCTGGGCGGATGACGTATGAGGTCAGCGTTGCACATGCGACGTTTGAGTCTCATAATAACCAACGATTGTCAACAGGAGCAAAGGAAGCAAAGTTTCCTTACTTCAGCAAAGGAAAACCAGTCTCCTCTTGGCTTATATCAAAATCCTCCGACATTCT